CAAAAAAAAATTAATACATGTGAAACCCGTCCAGCTCCATACAAAACGATGTCGTTTTATTTATATTATGTAGTATAATAAATAATTAATATGTAATGCATGAATAAAGTATATCTTACATGTCAAAACATATACGTATAAGGACTACTTCGTCTCGTTTTGTCTGTAGTTATCTATTTTATTTAAATATTATTTTATAAGCTCTGAATTAGTTAAATGAATTTATGATTAAGATATATTAATTTTGATTTATGTTAAAATAGATTCAATTTAAGATTTTACGTTTAGTCATTCATTTTGATTTATAATAGTTTCACGTTAAACTTATAAATTATTAAACAAAAAACATGTTTAATTTATAAGGAGTTGGGACCCATGAAAGTTGGGTCCTACTATAAACCCATCATGGACCCGTTTATTCTAAACCTATTGAAAACTCACAGGTTTTGCTCGTTACAATCAAGAACTGTTATTTAACGGGATGAGGGTGTATTTAATTAGAACCCGCGAGTTTATGACCCGCACACCTTAGCTTTTATCTATCCATCAAAATGACGATTGCATTTTTTTACATCTCATTTTCTCTTTTTCTATTATGTTTTCCCTTTTTCTCTCTCTATTTTTTTTTATAGAGGATATCCCATTCGACAATTGAGTTGAAATTGTTCTTAAGATCCAAATATCCATTCCACTTATTTTTATCTATTTTTCTTATTATGATAACTAATTTAGAGTGGTATGGTTAGAGCAACCACCATGCAAATCATAAAAATGAATCATCAAATGTTATTTTTATTAGGTGCTTGCTATTTAGAGCGGAGTTTTATTATTCGCAGCGGAATTTCAATCATTTTAAATGTTTAATTTCAAAAAAAATATCAGACCCTCATAAACTCTCTCGAACTTTTAAAAGTTATCTAATCCCTCGATCCCTCATTCATATCCTCATTCATATTTTAGTTCTAGAATTTATCCTCGTTACTTTGATGGTAAATGTATATGTTTTTTTTTTCAAAAAACTATTAGTAGTTAATACATGATGTAGTTAATTGAATTTAAAGGTAAAACGATCACTACAAATAGGGTTAGGACTGAGTTGGGTTTTACCGAGTAATCGATCCATTTCCGACCATATTTTCAGGTGGATGATAATTTTTTTAGCCAATTTATTGGATGGGATTGAAAATTTCGACCAATCCATCTATAATGGGTTGTTTAAGGGTTTCTAATATCGTCAAAAGTTGGTTGACCAATAATTATCGGACAACCAACTATATTAATTAAAATAATTAAAATATTATTTGACTCTAAATTAAGAATGTTTATTTGTTTGTAATTTTGGGAGTAGATTGGAGTTAAGACTTTGAAATATTTTTTGTTAATTTGCTTTTAATTGTTATGAACTGATGAGTGATTATGGTCTTGTGACATTATGGCGACATGTGCATGTTTGGAATTAGTTTGAATTTCAGAATTACATTTTTTTCACGAATTGTTATTAATTATTTTAAACTAATAAATGATGAAGGCACAGTGACACTAGGCATAATGTGCATATTTTTACTCCAAAAATCGATTTTTTTAAAGTAATTAAACTAGGTGGCAGATATACTCATCAACCAGCCCGTTTCGAAACCAAATATTGCCAACCATCAACCGACCTACAAAGGTTGGGTCGACAATAATTCTCAAATTTGAGTAAAACTAAATTGTCAAATGAGTTAATATTTAAGTCGGTAATCGACCGATTCAACTCAATCCCAACCATAAGCACGAGCACACACACCATTAACCAACAACGTCAAAAATGCTCAATACAGCCCAGCATTCTTTTTAGTTAGGTCAAATACGCACCATATAATAATGAAGTCAAATCCTATATTTCATGTATCCTCCTCTCCAGCCATTCACTCAATTTGTGTGTAGTACCAATTTGGACTTGGCAATTGACCAAGTTATAAATTTGGTTCAAGTACATCAATTAATTATTCAAATTTGTATTTTTCTTTAATTATTATATTAATAATTAATATCAATTTTTATTTGCTTGTATCAAGGACTCATATTTTATATTCTTTAGAATAGTTCTTCGTATATTACTATTGAAATTACAAATACAACTGCCTAATTGGTAAGACCAATTTCAATGCATGTAAAATACAGCTGAAATGTTAAATATTGTTTCAAGTTTACGAATATTATTCTGAATTCAAATGTGATTTTGACATTTTTTATAGTTTGATTTTGGCAAAATTCATAGCACGGGAATTGTTGTGCATTTAGTTTTTTAATCCAACTTGAATCAGCTAAATTAAATGTTGAATAGTAAAGTTGTGCACGAAGGAATTACATTTTACATTTTAGAAAACTACAAACATTAAACTTATGGGGGCAATGTTCATTAATTCATAAATATCTTTCTCACCGGCGATCCAATCTTGGCCATTCAAATTGGATTACAAAAGCTAACTCAAAAACTAAAAACTCCGCGTTTTGAGTTTTGCGAAATTCCGAATCAAAGATGGTTAAAATCACATTCAAATTCGAAAGAGTATAATTAAAACTGAAACGACATTTATCATGTCCTTGAAAAAAAATAGGAGAAAAAATTAAAATCATAACTTGTAATATATGGTAACAGATACCAATATAGATAACATTCAAGGAAAAATACATTTTCATCCCTCAAGTTTTCACAAATTTCACACTTGGTCCCTCATGTTCACAAAAAAACAAATTTGGTCCCTCATGTTTCAAAAATTCAACACTTTTAGTCATTTCCGTCAATTTTCCGTTATTACCAACGGAATCAAGCGTGTGCTCATCACTGCGAGTTAACAGTAAAATGACGGAAATGACAAAAAGTGTTAAATTATTGAAACACTAGAGACCAAATGTGATTTTTTTGAACATGGGGGACCAAATGTGAAATTGGTGCAAACTTGAAGGGTGAAAATGTAATTTTCCATAACATTCACTTAAAAATATTCAATATAATGATATCTTATATATAATCACATCATCCCATTAAAAGGGACAGTATGCAGTTCATATGTAAAGTTGGTTTTTTTTTTTTTTTTATATTTTTAATTTAAATAACATAAGTTAATTTTGAAGAGAAGAAAACGGAAATGTACAAAATATGGTATGTCACAATCAGATGTGAAAAATGTATGAATGTGCGAATTGTACAATTTGATACAACAGATTGTTCGCGTTGTATGTATGCTACTCTCTAACTAATTCAAAGATGGAGTAAACACCACCAATCAATGCCTCCTATAATTTCGTTCCTAACAAACATCGGATACCAAATAAAGGTTTGGTAAAATGCATACACTCCAAAATCGGACTCGAGCACGTTTTATTCAAGCTCTACAAAAAAAAAAAAGAAAAAAAAAGGTAAATTACAACCACCCTTGAGGTGTTGTCAATTTACGAAAAAATCTCTCTTGTTTGGATAATTATATCTACCCCTCAACTATGATTTTTTTCTTACAACTCCACCCTTATGGTGTCAAATTCAACATAATCATCTAGATTCGGGGAATGTGCTCTAGTTTGTACGCGTTTTGTGTAAAAATACAGTTTCTGATGCACCACAATCTGATATACATACAAGCTAAAAAACACATATTATAATCATCTTGCTTCAAAATGTAGAGTTCAATGAGATTAAAAGAGTACAAAAGTGATCATATTCTATATAATCTCGAAGATTGCACTAAATTTGAAACCGCAAGAGTGGACGTGTAAAAAGATTTATAGTTGAAGTTGTTGTAATTACCCAAACATGAGGAGTTTTTTGTAATTTAACCATACCTCCGGGATGGTTGTAATTTACCCAAAAAAAAATACTAAATTGACATATTTAAAAGATAATAATAATAATAACTAAATTTACATATATAAATTCATCTAACCACTAAAGATGAGCCTCCTGGTAATGTTTTGTACTATTTTTATATATACATGAAGACATAATATTAAATAATATTTAAAATATATAAATAGTTCAATAACAATGAATAACCATAACTATATTATTCTACGTAGTTTAATTATCAATTGTAATTTTTTAAACTTATTCATCGCATTATATGAATGAAATGTTTTAGATTAAATTAGTTAGTTATTGAATTCTATCATAATTTTTTTGTCATTTCACAATTTTTTTCCAGCAATTTTTGCATTTGTTTAATAATCTACATTGCCTATCTCTAACTTCAAAGATTTAAGTCAAGTAGATACAAAATATTTTATTTTATTATATTTAAACAAATGTTACATACATTTGCAAAAATATTTGGAGCTCTGCCTCGAACCCCGTAAACCTGTAATTTACTTTAATTTCTTTAATATTTTTATCATATTTTCTCCAAAAAAATTTAGCTGCTAATCAAAAACTTATTGTCCAAATTATATTCATTAGAATGAATTAATATATACATTATATAATGCAAATAGGGAAACTAAAAAATATCTATTTTATCTAGAGTTACACCAAAAAAATATAAACATATAGAACCAAGTAAATAAGTTTCCAGATTAATATTTTTATTATCAAGAGAATTTTTTATTTTATTATTATTATTTTTCTGGGGAGGGGGCTCTTCGTCCAAAATAAAAAAATAAAAAATAAAAAAATAAAAAAGGGGGTTAAGCACGGTGTTGTCCCTGTTGGTTCCCTACCTGATTTTGATTCTTTTTAAGATATATCTCTCTCTCTCCTCTCTCCTCTCTCTCTCTCTCTCTCTCTCACGCGCAGCACTCATCCCCCTTCTTCTTATTCAACTCTTCTTAAACATTTGTATTTGTGCACCTCCAATTATTTTATTATTTTATTTCTTTTTATTCTCCTCCCATATTCCTTCTTTTCTTTCGTTTATTCCCTTACCCTTCTTTTTACTCTCTCTCTAAATTTTTTTTCCTTCTTCATACTGTGTTTTTTTTCAATGCTCATCTCCCAATTTTAATTGTTCATTTTTTTTTATTTTTTTTTTAATTTTTGTTTGGGAGGGTGGAAAAAAAAAAAAAAAAAAAAGAATGGCAACTCCAAACATGGCTACAATCACAGCATCTTTAGAGAGATCCCTGCAAAACTGCTCCCTGAACCACCAACAGAGCAGCAGCACCACCACCACCACCAGCGGCGGTGGAGGAGCGGCGGCGCACGGTTCAGATTCGCCGCCGATTCCGGCGGCGGAGGAGGCCGCCCTGGAACTGAATTCTGAAGGCTCTCTCCCTTTCCATTGGGAGCAATGCCTCGATTTAAAGGTAATTAATTACAACCAAAGAAGAGACAAAAATAAAATAAAAATGAAATTTAATTTAAAGATCGCTGTCAATTATTATTATCATCATTATTATGAAATGTACTCCAGTTCTATTTATTATTTTTTGTTTTTCAAAAAAAAAAAAAGATTTGTTTTATTACATTTAATGCTGTCAAAAACCTAAACAGATCCGGGCATTACTTCACCTATGTTTTTTTTTTTTCCTTTGTTTTTTTGTCCCCAAATGTATAAATGTTTCTTCCTCTTCTTTAATTGTGGTTATTTATTGTTGCCCCCCTGCATTTAATTTATATCCTCATTTATGTAAATGTACCCCTTTTCATGAAACAAATAAATAATCTTGAACCAATAGTAATTTAAAAAAAAAAAAATTAATTTAGTTGATTGTGGTGTACAGACAGGCGAAATATATTACATAAATTGGAGGACCGGGATGAAAGCGAAAGAGGATCCGAGGAACACGGCGGTGGAGTATGGCGGCGGCGGCGGCGGTGAATATTACTCGGAGGATGATAACAGCTCGTACGACAGCGAAGGGTCGTCTTCGGAATCGTGTCCTTCTTCGTCACGAGAGCAATGGAGTTATCAAGAAAATTATAATTGTCAAGAAGATAACGAAAATGAAGATAAAAATAACAACGATAATAATAATAATTCGGGTAATGTGCTTGTTGTGGCCGGATGCAAGAGCTGCTTAATGTACTACATGGTGCCCAAACAGCTCGACGTTTGCCCCAAATGTTGCGGTCAACTCCTCCACTTCGATCGATCCGAAAACCTCTCCAACTGAGTTTTTTTTTTTCTTTTTTTTTTCATAACCATAAATTTGCTGTTGTGTTTATTTTTTATGAATATTTTGGTGGAGTGTTTAGTATTGGGATATTGAGGAAAGAACGAAAAAAGTATGATCAAATATTGATTGTTGCTAATTTATTACATGTTGTTTTGGGTTTCTTGATTTTGTTTCTGCATTTATGTATTTGTTTCAGTTGTTTTTCATGCATTTAACTTTATGGTTTTATTTTAAAATAAATGCATTGTAATAAAAGGAAACCTTCATTCATTCATTGGATTGTATAATGTAGTTGTGTAGCATCTACAAGATAGATAAAAAGATACGATAAATAGATATGGGTGATGAGTTTATGGATTCTATACCTTTTTTTATTTTCCATAAAATTTAAAGGTGTGTTTGGGTGGTAAGATTTATGTGCATTATACAAAATAATACCATACTTTTGTAGGATTCTACAAAATTTTGAAGACCAAGGTTTTTCTATATCTTTACTCTATATGAGCCCTTTATTTTATTTGTAGCGTGTGTGTGTATATATATATATATATATATATATATATATATATATATATACGCGCGCGGTCTTTTCTTTTTAGCTTTATAGTTAAGAAGGTGTTTGACTAAGTTTACAAGATGTTAAAAAAACTTGTAAAATGTTTAAGAGTTTATAAGCTCTTCCAAAGTATTTGAATTTTTTATTTTAAATATCTTAAAAATTCAAAAAGTAAGCTGATGAAGAGCAAATAAGATATATATAAAAAATGCATCTACCTCATCTTTTTATTTAAGATTTTATAATGAGTAAAAATAACTTATAAGTTATTATTCAAATACTTTAAAAATTAAATATAGAAGTTTATCAACTTTTAAAATAAATTTAGCCAAACAATCCCTAAGTCCCTTATTTGCGAGGCATTTTTTATGTAGTCGGTTTGATAGTTTTGGTGTGCGTTCAACAAATACTAATTAAGTATATTAATAGTGTTAATACAGCTGGAATCAAATGTGAAGTGATTAATAATTATTCTAATATATCATAACAAGTTGCAAAATGGAGTACTAGTAGCACGGAAGAATGTCAAAACAACCATGTTGCACTCATCAAAAGTCAAAAACATAATTGCATTACAATATTGTCTAAGCAACACTATCTAACATGATTGGATTCATTTTTTTTTTAAATTTAAATTCATCATATCATCGATTATTATTTTTGAATGATTCAATGTATGATATATATTTATTTGCATGTATAGTTTCTAGATCTCAATTTTGTGAATCGCAATCCACTAATTAAGGTATTGTTCGAACTTATTCATTAAATAAACCAAATTTGAGTTACATGGTCAATGTTTTCTAGATCAAGTTTGTTACGCATGACTTATGTTTTATATAGTTAGCATTGCAAGTATGATTTGCAAGTAATTTCACCAGAGTAGATGTTTACTCATCGCACCTGTATAATTGCAAAACAACATAACATATGTACAAAGAACTGGTTGCAAATTCATGTATTATATAAAATAAATGTACGGACAGTATGCACATACACGAGAACTTAGTCACTCCACCACGAACTTCAAATCGTCCATTATATTGTAGCAAAAAAAACAACCACAAGAAATTTTCAATCTTAGAGTAATTCTTGTTACGACAAACTCTGCGATTTCCTCGTGATATTGAATTATTAATCATCTCTCATCTTTTAATTTGTGTCCATTAAAAATGAATTTAAAATACTATGGTGCAAATTAGGAGCTCTTTGATATAATCCCCTAAATATTTTTTTAATAGGGAGAGACCCAAACTATTTTGTACTATTTGATAAAAGTTTTTTCCTAATTTTAATCACCCACTTATTCAATTATGTCATTGCCACCTCATCAACACTATCACCAATTATGTCCCTGCCACCCCATCAACCTTTTTTATTTATGTATTTATTTATTTATTTTTAACCGTTTTTTTTCTCTATCGGGTATATTAATCGACTATGAGATATACGCATAGTCGATTAAGAAATTAACTACTAAAAAAAACAACAACTATGTAAAAATAAAAATCGACAATATTTGTAGATAACAAATAATATACATGAATTGTAATTGATTTATACAAATCGGAATCAATACATAAAAATCCAAAAAAAAATTAAAAAAAAATAAAACCAAGTAACCTTAATCGACTACCAAAACAGTCGATTAACACTTTAATCGACTACCAGCATAGTCAATTAACTTAATTGACTACCGAAAAAACACATAGTCGATTAAGGTTCAGCTTGTGCGGATTTCTCTACCCGCACCGCCCTCTGTCCGATCTACCAAAAAACCCTAGATCTGCTCCTTGTTGTTACCACGCCGCCACTACACCACACCATCACCGCCACACTTCCATATTCTTACGGTTTTTAATGACAACTAAAGTAAATTACAACCGGCACCACCAACCCAAACAAAAACACCACCATCAAAACCACAAAAACAAAGCTACCCAAACCCAAAATTATTCATGACCACCACCATATCCAAAAAGAGGCAGCAAAATCACATTAAACATATGTGTATGAGGCGACGAAGAAAAAACCTTCGCAAAATCGAGAAATTGTGGGTAAGGGAACGCCACTTGGGGCATTCGCGAGCGCAAGATCCTCCATCGCGTCCTCGCCATAGTCTTCGCCGTGGATTTCCAGAAGTTTTTCGTAATTTTGGTCATGGTGGTGGCGGAAGGGGAGAGAGGGATAAGAGATTTGGATATTGAGAAGAGTAACGATAAAAATGACAGAGGAAAAAAAATGAGTTTGGAAAAGATGATATATAATTAGGGTTAAAATCGTTATATTGGAATTATAAAATATCATTTGAAATTGGGTTGAATATTAGCTACAGAGATTTTCTCTAATTATTTTTGAGAGAGAGTATTTCCTTAACTACATTTTCTAGATGGGGTTCTTGCTAATTTTCCCAGCAAATTAATGCATATATTTTGACAATATAACGGGGCAGGCTAAAAATAACGGTCAGTTTCCCCAAACTAGTTCTTAGTAGTATTCTCGAAGTATATAAAAAAAAAAAAAAAAAAAAAAAAAAAAACTTAATATTTACAGGTTTTTATTAAAGTAAAATAGTCTAAATTTTAAATATATATGTTTCAGTCACTTGCATAGAAGAAAATAACTATAACTTAGAGAAATAAATATTGATTTATATTGTAGTAAAACATACAAGTATAAATATTCCGTTTGGTTGTAAAGATAAGCCAAGATTAACTAAATAGTTGGACTTAATTTGATGTTTGGTATCTCAATAAATTGCCGGGTCGATCCGCCAAAATTATGTAATCATGGCTTATCTTGCCTTTTAATGAGTTTTTTTTGTTGGACATTGCAAGCTCCAATAAAATAATTTGATTTCATTAAATTATTTAATTTTATCTTAACTAATCTTATCTTACCAACCAAAAGGGGAGGGTACTAGAAATTAATTTCAGTATCTAAGAGTTATTGATAGATGTAGAAGAGAACACATAATTTTGTGGGCAATAACTCATAGTTACATAATATTAAATATTATACATTTGATAAACTTCAGGGAGTAAACATGCAAGACCCAGTTTGGTTGGTAAGATAAGATTAAATAATCTAATGAAACCCAATTATTTTATTGGAGCTTGCAACGTCCAACAAAAAAAACTCATTAGAAGGCAAGATAAGACATGATTATATAATTTTGACGGGTCGACCCGACAGTTTATTGGGATACCAAACATCAAATTAAGTCCAACTAGTTAATTAATCATTGCTTATCTTGGCAACCAAACATGGCCTAGCATATTACACGTCGGATTAAAATTTGCATCTACAAAATCATCACATCTATCGTACACTAATTTAATCATGGTTTAGGGGAATTTCAAACTGTAATCATATCATAAGATCTGATTTTATAAGAAAAAAGTAAAGACAAAGAATATATATTTTATTCTTTAAATCATTATACGAGACTTTAAGGGAAATGCCCTTTTAATTTTCTCATGTTATATATATATATATATATATATATATATATATATATATATATATATATATATATATATATATATATATATATATATATATATATATATATATATGCAAATGAGAAGGAATAATCCGAAATTTAGTTATTGAAGTTAAGAGTATAGCCATTGCACAATTTAACTCCCAAATTGCTTCAATATTTTGGTGATTCTTGGTGTATTGTTAGTACCAAAATCACAACAACATAAACGAATCGTAGATTGTCGATGTTGAGAGGTTAAGTTTCAAATCGTATAAATCGGCGGTTATTATAATAATAACAATTATTATTATTATTTTTATTTGTTTTTCTGGTTGAATATCTCTAAACCATATTCGTAGACGCTGCCTCGAACCCAAAAAAATAATATAATGATTTCTCGTACAAAACCATATATGTTAGGAAATTAAACTTGGCTTTAATTCATATATATCAATCATGTCGTCCGTAAACTAAATTAATAAGGATAATGCAATATTGAGATAATAAATATATATATACCATATATATGCAGTATATTGTATGTAGTATAGACCAAAAGTCTAGGAAAAAAAATGTAAAAATAGGCATGTTCCATCTTAAAATAATGAAAGAAAAAATTGGAATTGAGGACAAGAAATAAAGAGAAAGAGAGATGGCAAATATGCAAAGAGAAGAACCTTTTAATGGTCCACAAGGATAGATGAGGTATGAGATATGTGTGTGTGTGTGTGTGTGTGTGTGGGGTTGACAGTTGAGAATGAAATATGAGATAAGCTAGGGCTGTAGCTTCCATGAGATAAATACAAAGGAACCTTTTGCTTCAATTTGCATGGCAGATAAAAAGGAATCTTTGACAGTAAGGCCTACAAACTTAACTGTGCAGAGAGGAAAGCACACAGACACACAGCACAGAGAGAAAGGGCGAGAGAGGAGAGAGAGAGATACATAACTGGCCAAACAGTGTACATGAATTGGACCTTTCGTATCCCCATTATAGTACACACTTTGTTTTCAATTTTAATAATACATTATATAATTTTAAATATATATATATATGTACACATAGAATGCAAGAATACATAGTGATGTTTGGTGTTTATCTTTGTTAATTGTGTTTTGGTTTATTGTTATTTAATATATATATAGAGAGAGAGAGAGAGATCTCTAGAGAGAGAGGGGGATTTGTTGTGTTGTTGCAATATTCGAAGCAAGCATTTGCTTTATGAGTAGTGTTGGAATTAATTGGTGGTTAGGTAGAGAGAGAGAGAGAGAGAGAGAGAGAGAGAGAGAGAGAGAGAGAGAGAATCTAAATCTGTCTTATTGCTTTATTGATGCAGTTGTTTGCATCTCCAACTTTAAAAACTTTGCATCTTTTCTTACAACAGTTTATGCATTCTCTAACATAGCCTCGACTGCTCTCTACACATTTCTGACATTTTCCGACTCTTCTATCACTCTTTTTTTCTTTTCTTTTAATGGATCAGTTTTTTAAAACTTTTGATAGGGATGGGATTAAACACCGCCATGGGTCGGGTCGGGTCGGGTTTGGGTCCGACTTTTAGGGGACTCGAAACCGACCTGTGAGGAGGCGGGTCCGGGTCCGGGTCGAGTCCAGGTCCGGACCGATTTTTCAATTTTTTTTTTGTTGTAAAGAAAGAAAATAAAAAGTAAATAAAAACTTGAGCCTAATTTTAAATTTTAAATTACAAAAAAAAAAAGTTGAATTTAAACACTAAGTAATTTTAGAAAAATTGAAACGGTTAAGACCTTGAGAAATAAACTAAATAAAATGAAGGTTGAGAAAATGAATTGGTGAAGATTGGATAATAATTGAGAGATTTTTCAAAATTTCTAAATTCAAAATTCAATATTTCTTTTAAATTACACGGGTTGAACCGTAATATTTTATATTTTTCAAAATTAAATATATATGCATTTACTATTAGTGGATATTTTTAATATCAATAATAGTGAATATAATAACTAATAATTTATTAAACATTTTTTGGACAGTTTTTATTAAATATGAGTTGTACAATTGTTATAATCATTTTTACAGTTTTATTTATATTTATACGTTTAGAGTTAAACACATAATAGTAATTTGATTTGTCCGAATGATTAGTACTCTACTAAACCTCTCAGGCAATACATGTTCAACCCTCAAACCATGCATTTTTTGTGATATTTCACATTAAATTCGGTGGACCCTCGGGTCGGGTCCGGGGGTGGGTACAAATCCTGGTCGGGTCCGGGTTCAACCCGACCAGTGGCCATGTCTACATTGGATCATATATACATAACTTAATAAATAATCCTTTATTTTTATTTTGTGTCAATTAAAATATCTGGTGGCCACTTTCACAAAAATAGCCCGAGAAAAACCTAGTGAAAATTAAAAAGACAAGTTAACTAAATATTTGTTTCACATCATTTATTAAATTCATTCTAAAATTGTCCTTTGCTGCAGACCAAGAAAGAGTGCAATAAACAAAGCTCACTAGGATAGAGCCCAGTCCGCTAGGGCCCACTTAGAGGTGCGGTCCAAGAGAGAGGCCCACTCAGAGGCGTGGCCCAAGACAAAAGCTCATGTGGAAGACCACCTCTCGGCGATATAGCCAAGCGAGTGATATACACTACCGAGGGTCGAGGGATATTTGGCGCTCGGAAAAGCAATACGGTGACTCAACACAGCCATTGATGACTCTGACAGATATTGGGGAAAGTATGGACGACCTTATCGGACACATCATGCACGTCCGTGTATTAAATGCACTGACACCATCATAAATAATCGGATTAACGGTGGCGGGCAAAAATGAAGGAAAAGACAGAGGAGCCTGGATTTTCGGGAATCCTTAAGATCCGACTGGATGTATTATAACTAAGTATGCATTCTGCTGGAAAAGAGGTACATTTTCATATTACATATACGTCTTAATTCCTCACAAAATATACCACAATCTTTTCTGGTTTGACCGTCGGAATACTAACTCCGCTGTTAGTCCGGGTACCTTCCTCTTAACAACTAGCGAGTTAAAGTCTTCGGTCCCACCATAACTGCAAAGGAACCCGCCAGAGAGTTCTATTTTGCGGACAGATCACTCTTAACACACAAAAAAAGAAGAAAAAAAAATCACCAACTAGTATTCAAACCTCATTTATTATTTTTTATTTAGCATTTAATATTTTCAATTTTGCATCTACAATTTTTGTTTAAAGAAATTTAGGAAGAACATGTTTTTTTTTAATTATTATAAAACCTTTTGTTTTGCTACATAATATTGAAAATTGTGAAAAATAAGATGTTTAGTTTTTATTTTTTTTCGATTGAAGCCATATATAGACACCCATAGTAATTCGTACCGCCAACACTATAGCCATCGCCTTCGCTATTGACATACGCACCCCACCATAACCATGACCACCACCGCAGAGCCACCCTTTGGCAAGGGGGGCTCCAGCCCACTCTAGATTTCTAAAAAATTCTACTTAATACTATAGTTATATGTAATTAATCCACTCAAGTAATTTAATTTAGCCCACCTATCAAATAATTATGTGTTATTAGTTACAGTTTATAAAATTTTTATTTATTTTATGCTATTTTATATGAATGAATAAAAAAAAAAATCTCGGGGCTTTGCCCTGAACCCCGTAAATATTAAGTTCACCATGTCTCGAATTCCTGGCTCCGCCACTGACGCCGTCGCAGCCGCTACACCACCCTTACCATACGTACCACCGTTATGTTGCCGCCTCTTCTGCCGCCATAACCGTGCATTTACAACCGCTACCACTACCTCCATAGCCACCGCCTTCCTTAACTATGGGGGAGAGAGAAGAACTAGATATGGAGGGAACGTGAATTTAAATGTTAAATTTAGGGTAAAAAGGTAAATTAGGGATAAAAAAAAGATTAAGGTATGTTATTGGTATTATATTTTAAAATAGCGGTGTACTTAAAAAATTGATTTCTAATTAAGTTTTATATGAGAAATCCTAGGTATTAACCCCATTTTTTTTAATTAATTTAAAGTTGATATATTAAATTGGAGAGGAGAGTTTTAAGTAGGGATGACAATGGGTACGGGTTTGTCGGGTCTTAGACTTGGAACCGACCCGTTTGGAACGGGTTTGGTAAGTTAAATGGTTCTAGGTCGAGTAATGTAAATTTGTAGAACCGGCTGGTTATGGGTCGGATTACGAGTGTTATTAGAACCAACCCAGAACCAATTTGTATAAATATATTATATTTTATAATTAATCTATATATATATATTAATTTATGATTTAATTTATCAAACTTTTAATTTCCATCGTGTCTATTCTCATTTGCCCATTTTCACCATTCATTTATTTCAATCTCATTTCTCGTAGGTAAACACTATCACTTGTCGACCACCGCTAGCCGTCTTGCCTTATGAACTTTATTTATCGTAGAAGTTAAATATAATTAATTATATAGTTTCATTATTCACTTTATACCACTTGTAGAAGTATTTTAAAAATATTGTATTTTATTTTTTAGATTATTTTGTTAAAATATAGAAGCAAAATATTATGAAAGTTAAAAAATAATAATAGTTTTTTTTTTTTTTCTTTATGTTAACGGGTCTAGTGGATCAAAATAGTCTAATTCGGGTATGGATTGTGACGGGTCTGGTCTAAGCTGAACCGAGTTAGATCAAGTCTGAGTTTTATATATTTTTCACGGGTCGAGCCTCAGATTTAAGCAAACCCGGCCAGACCGACCCGTTGCCATTCTTAGTTTTGAGCTCGATGGCCCGTAGCGAGGCTTATTAATGTTCTGCTATGTGCTTTATGATTAATGAATCCAATTCCACTTTGAGGAGGAATTAGTATAACTTTTTTTACTACTTCATAGTGTACATATAACTAACTTGTCATTAGTTGAGAAACAAATTTGGAACCTCAACATGATAATGCTCATTAACTATCTATCAAGTTAATATAATTTACATTATTCGGGAAACAACCCAAACTCTCCGTACCGACGGCTGAGCCACAGCCACTCGGAACCGAACCGAACTGTGGTCAAGTCTAGGTTTTACATATAAACTGCTACTGTTTTATTACAACAGAAACCACAGATCAACTTTTTACAACACAACATAGTAAACGTCCACGCTCAAACTAATCAACTCGATGCTCACATGATATGCATATCATACAAATAAACCCACTTACATGTATATATCTATCTATTGTATGTATCGAAACGTCTAAAACAGAAAGCAAATGCAGCACTTGTTATTAGCTAATGATGGGGTGTAGCGGGAACATTCAGTGTTGCCCTGAAATCGGACACACTATCGAGCAAATGGTGAGAGGCTTTCTCAAAATTGACGAATCCCATGAACCAAAACTCGTGACCGTCAACTGTAATAATATGAATGTAATTCTCCGGTGGGTTTTGTCTCATCATAACTGGATTCACATTCTCTATGTTTCCCGAAGGTATTGCCACCTGTTCAATCCATCATCCAAATACAACCACATGAAAAATTATACATTAACAATCGCCTTTCGTTGAACAAATAAAATACCAATAGAACCATAACTACACAATTAGGCCTTGTTTTGATAGGACTTATTAACCTTAAACATGTGATTAATCAAAACTAATCTAAATTTGGTAAACATAATTATACTGCACGGAAAATTTTGTAAGATTAGCATGAATAGGAATTATAAATGATAAACAATCCAATTCTTGCACCGCGTGTTCTATGTCTAAATATCCGAATACGTATATTATTGAGGACTCTGAAAAATTGATTCTTAGATAATTTTAAATAATGGCACAATAGAAAAGGTTCACCCCGAACGAGAAAAGATGTTATACGTAGGCTCTGTTTGGATCAAGGAAAAATGCAAAGTAAAAAAGACGAACCCACTAGGTAAAATAGATACCGTAATTCGTTAGGAGGTAAAATACGAGGCAAAATGATTTGGGGAAAAAAATGCGATACATTTCCCTAAAAAAATGAGGAAAATTATGCGTAAAACGATAGCAGTTTTCAATTACAATTCCTCTACATCCTAGAAAATGGGAGTAGTTCTTCACCTCACGGCAGAAACTTAACAAACATGTCTTCTCGCACAAAGAAAATAATATTCCACAAAATCAATTTTATCACCATCTTCTTTAGTAACCAGACATACTAGATATTCTCAAAAAAAAAAATATTCATTTACTTTTGCGTTTTCATTTTCCCCATTCCGAAATCCATGAACCAAAACAGAGCCATAAATTTATCTCTATAAAATTGGAAGTGTTTATTATTATTATTTTTATTATACCTTGTAGTAACTCCATGCCACCTGGCCGGAGGGAGCATTGAAAGACAAGGGGCGGTCGCTACAGAAAGCCAAACGAGCAGTGGATAGATAGAGTGTACCAGCGACAGGGCCTGTTGTTGTGGAAAGATAACATGCGAATGTCTTCTTCAACTTCTCGTTTGCATCACACGGAAATATCTGCCTGAATAGGGATTCGAATCCACCTTCTGTTATCGCCTTTGCTGTCAAATTTACTTTACCCCATGCTGCTCCAGATACCGACGGCCCTGTTTTTACTGCAAATAAGCATTAACAAATAAATTAGATAGTGGAGAAATTTGATTTTGTTTTTAGCTCTTATCTTGGCTTATCGAACAATTGTACATAGACAGTGGAGAATGCAAAACAAAAGATACATACATTAATTATATAATCGGCCGATTGCTTATAATCCATTAATTAGTAACTTCCTATTTGCCCTTTGTATTTTCTTAACGGGGAGTTACATGCTACCTGGTTATTTACACCGGACGGATTTGAATCGTAGATTTGATTAAATAACTACCCAATAAGCACAGATACACGTAAGTGTATGTGATTATGTGTAGTTCTACCTAAATACATGTTTGATTAAATAACTACCCAGCATAAATAACCAGGTGTAACATTAGGCTGTGTTTGTTATGGTTTTGGAATTCTTTTCACTCCTTCCTCAAAATAAAATTATCTTTTAAAAATATTTTCAAGAACTTTCCGCAAAAAAAGTTCAAATATTTCTCTCATTTGACTGTCCCTGATTCGTGAAAATGGTCTTCACTAAAATATAAATTAAAATCACTTTTATCTTTCAAATTCTTCAACAAAAATACATTTTTCCAACATCTCGATTTGACTTGCTATAGTACAAATTGTCTCATCTCAAAACACAAACAAACTTTATTTTATTTTCAAAATTCTTGTCCTAAAATCATTTTTTCTCTGGAATAAAATGGAAACAGAAATCCAAAAGCTTATCAAACATAGCCCTAGTTTCTCTTTATGAATCCAATACTTCATACTTTAAAAATCAGTATTAGGTTAAATGCAATAAATAGCAGATACAGGATGAAATTCAAATAGTTTAACAAGAAAATAAAAAACTCAATTCCTGAACCATAAAAAAAAGAAAAGAAAAAGAAAAGTGGGGGTTTTGATGAATAATTATGATCTTACAGTTATGCCATACGTTGCGGGCCATATCTTCAGCTCTGTGATTCCAGGAATTGAAAGTATTGACAAGGAATTCAAAAGGGTTGTCGGCGGGCTTTTCGACCGGGGAATAGACAACGTAAGGTTGATGCTGGTAATACTGCTGGGCTGGGGTTTGTGCCTGCCATAGCGCCGCTTGCTGATTGTCGGGGTGAACCGTCGGAGCCGCCGGTGCGCCCATTATGTGGGTGCCCCATTTCTTAGTCTCCTCCTCAGACGGTGGTTGTGCCGCCGCCGCCGCCGACGCCGACGCAGAGGGTTCGTGATGTTCTGGATCTTTTGCTGCTTTCTGATTTTCGTTTGCGCTTGCCATGATCACGATGATGAATTGATGATAAAAAAAAAAAATACAAGAATCAGAGTGTATATATAAAAGTGGAGGCAGGTGTAATTTATTGTGAAGATTTATGACGGTGGAAAGAAAGAGAGAAAAGCTTAGGCGCGTGATTTTTCTAGAAGGGTAAATTACAAACACGCCCTGAGGTATGGTCAAATTACAAAAACACCCCTCTTGTTTGGATAATTACAATCACCCCCCTCAACTCCTCAAATTTAGTGGAATCTTCGAGATTATATGGAATATTATCACTTTTGTACCCGTTTTATCCCATTCAAACTCTACATTATGAAGCAAGATGATCATAATATGTGATTTTTAGCTTGTATATATCACAGTGCATCAGAAACTGTATTTTTTACGCAAAATGAGTACAAACTAGAGCACATTTCACGGAATCTAGATGACTATGTTGAATTTTGCACCATAAAGGTGGAGGTCTAAGAAAAAATCATAGTTGAGGAGGGTAGATGTAATTATCCAAACAAGAGGAGGGTTTTTGTAATTTGATCATACCTCAGGAGGTGTTTGTATAATTTACCCTTCTAGAATTAATGAGGAGATTGCTTTACAGTTGGGTTAGTCGTTCAATTAGACCTCGTTTGGTCCGGGAGATTAGTCATGATTAACTAAATAATAGGAAGGAGTTTGTTTGATGTTTGATATCTCAATAACTTATTGGATCTGACCGGCAAATATTATATTAGGGTTAGATACAAAAACACCCCTGTACTATGGACTTTGTATTATATACCCCATGTACTACACATAGATACAAAAACCCCCCTGATGTTATATTTTTTCCAAAATATGACGAAAACACCCTTGCCAAGCCTATGAATATAGGGGTTTGTTTGAGCCATTTTTCACTATATTTTTTAACATTTTCGGTAAATTTTACTTGGAAAATTTTAATATTTTTATTTTTTTTTCTTAAAAACATTTAATTACTTAATTTTTTTTCTAAATAAAACCTTTTATTTTTGTCATTTTGAATTTCTTCATTTTTTTCCTAAATGTCTTCCGATAGTTCAAATTCTCAACAATAATAGGATTGTAAAGATGTTTCTAATCTTAGGATGTTTGAACTACCGGAAGACATTTAAGAAAAAAAACATGAAGAAACTCAAAATGATAAAAATAAATAGGTTTTAGAAAATTGAAAAAACTATAAGCAATTAGATGTTTTGGAAAAAAAAAAATATAAATACCAAAAAATTTCGCACGTAAAATTAACTGAAAATGGTAAAATATATAGTGGAAAATAACTCAAACTTTCTTTATATATATATATATATATATATATATATATATATATATATATATATATATATATATATATATATATATATATATATATATATATATATATATATATATATATATATATATATATATATATATATATATATATATATATATATATATATATATATATATATATATATATATGCTTGAGTAGGGGTATTATTGTTATATTCTGAAACAAATGTAATATGAGGGGGGGTTTTGTATTTATGTGTAGTACATGGGAGTATATGATACAAAGTTCATAGTATAAGGGTGTTTTTATATTTAAGCCATTATATTATCGTGACTTATCTTGCCTTCCAGGGCATTTCTTTTATTAGATAATTGCCGGTCCAATAATATAATCGATTTCGTTAGATTATTTAATTATATCTTGGCTAAAGTTATCTTGAGATCAATCGACTCATCCTCATGGATTCAAATATTTTATTCAAACGTTCTAGATGTGACTACTTTGGGTGGCCCACATTTCTTAGCTATCCATTTGTCTTTCCTTTTTCTTTTTTTTTTTTTTTTTTTTTGTTAGTTGGGTAAGTAAAAAAATGTATTAAGTATTATATTATATAGTTGTTATCTTACTACTTGTGGACTAAGATTGAATAGCTGATATATCAACTCATTTCCATTGTGAATGTATCACTCATTTGCAATAGATATTCTAAATTCAAGCATGACAATGCTTATGTCTACTCTTGTATGAATAGTGTTATTGGGCAGTAGAAATAAACAGACGAATTTCCTTCACCAAGCAATTGCAATTTCTAGCTTAGCTCACATAATATACGTATATATGGGTTTATGTTATTCTAATTTGTATATTCTATAAGATGTTATCAGAATATGAGGTTTTTACTCCGATAGGAATTCGCTATGATATTTAGAAATTATGAGATTAACTCCGAGCCTATGTTTGTGGAGTTAGAAAAATAATAATCTCTGTTTTGAAGCTAATTTAGACGTCATCGTATCAACTCTGGGCATAGTATCTGTTGACATCGAAATTTTGTTAAAAAACCGAGATTAAATTACAAATAAATAGCCCACATAAATTGGTTATTAATTTGGATCCCAAATCAAGGTTCTAAATAAATTTGGGTTTTATACCAAGTCCATAATAAATTTGGATTTTACAAATATATTAAGTGAATTAATCAAAAAATAAGTAATAAATTCTTATTTTTTATGTTAATTATTTGGGCCTAAGTCTAGCCCAAATATATTAAGTTGGTATTCAAGTCTACTAGCTCAAGTTCCAAGTCAAGAAATTATTCAAGCTACTAGCCCAAGTTCATAGTCAAGAAATCCTAGATCGAGCCTATAAAAGGCGGTCTCAAATACAACACACATAAGACATCAAGCATCAAGCAAGGCGTACATCAAGTACACAAAATCTCTCAAGTCTCGAGCTCTTGCCACGACGAAGAACAACAACCGCGGAGGTTCTACATCTTTGTCAAGGCACCATATCCACAAGACCTAGAAGTCCCGAAATCGATTTCCAGATATTCATATATATTTCCACAAATCAAGGAAGAAATCAAACTTTCAATTCAAGAACAAGCTTCGGCCTTGGATTAAATTTAGGAAAAGAATCAGAGGAGTCAACAAAGATTTCAACCCCTTTCCTCTTGATTAAATATTTATTTGTTCCTATTTTTTCTTGTCTTGTAATTTATTTTGCAAAAATTTAAATTTGAGGTTAACAATTGTTAGAGTAGGTGACCGAAGAGCCAACTAATTATTGTGTTTTCTCACGCTACTCGTAAATAACATATTTCGTATTAATGATAAATAACCCCTTTGGCATTCTATATCTTTTTCCCTTGCATAAGCATAGATATAGTCCTTACAGTTACTTAATTACTATAAATAGATATAGTAGAATTGTGAGATTATTTATTTAATAATAGTAACTGTTAAACATAGTTCTTAGTGTATGTGTGCTGCGTCTCATTAGTCAACGGTGTTGTGACATCGGCATACATAAGTGGGTGCTCATAAGTTGATGAGTTCACTGAACTCTCTCAATCTAGAGATCTCTAAGTGGTTCCCAATAATCGAGTAGAGGTTTCTATGATATAGTTGTACACCATTAATCCTTAAGAATCAGACATCACCGTGACTTCATAAGAGGACCAGCTATATCGTGACTTGTCCGTGAGTTCCACCGAGGACCGCCCCAAGGGCCAGTGTTCGTGCAGTCTGAAATCTAGTGGGGGGTCTGTGCATTGTGGTAGGGGATTCGATCGCTTGATCAGTCATGGATATCATGTGTGTTATTGCAATTTATAACCCATGAAGTCTGTGGCCACAGCTGAAAGTGTCGTGATTAGAGAAATATGTTTCTCTAAGTCAAACACGAACATATTATATAATCAAGAACGTCCACACAGTTATTGAACTCATAAAGAGGTCTCGATGAACCAATACATCTAGTTCAATCGTGATATATGTATCGAAGGGATCGTACTGTACGTTAACTATATCACACGGTTCTTGGAGGCACTTCATTTGTTTTTAGGGAATCATGACGCGTAGTTGCTAGGCGTCAATCTTGATTCGTTGGTTAGTTAAGTTGAAACTAGATTCTTCTTAATTATAACTCTAGGGACGAGTTTAAACCACAATGTGTTGTGGGCCCACGACTAGCTTACACCTGAACCATCGAGGGTCACACTGCTCGTGTACTTGAGATCCTTAATGCAATGAACTAAAATTAATTAGTAATCTTAGTGTAATTGGAAGTCAATGTGATTGAGTCCAACATTCGTAATTGTTAATTACAGATGAGAATAAGTAGATTAAATGAATCCAACGAAAATTTAGTGAACTTTCTATTTTGGGAAGTTTCCCAATTTGGAAAGTCCTAAATTAGGGTTTCCAATTTCGAAAATTGGTAAATTGCAAAGTGGTACTTGTGTCGACGAGAATTTGTGCTCGTCGTCAAAATATAATTGTTATATTTTTGCGAGCATTCGTTTGTTAGAAACTAGCTGAGAAAGAGAGTGGACTTAAGCTGTTGGGCCTAGCCCAACTTAAGGCCTGTTAGGGTTTTCACAAGGAGCATATAAATAGGATTTATATGTCTTGTGAAAGACACACAAAAACGACATCACAAGCTTGAAACCCTAGCCTCTCTCCGTCCATTAGATGTCTACCTTGCAGCCGAAACCCTACCTCCGCCACCAGCCGCCGCGCCGCCGCCAGTCGCCGCCGCATCGGCATCTTCGTTTTCCCCTCGTTCTTCTTCGTTCTACTAAGCCATCACGTATATAGTGCTGCGTGGATAGTGGATTGAATATACGAGGTGAAACGTAAGAGGAGGAAGATTTTTATGCCGCCAACGCCGCCACCAGGGTCGTCCCCACGCGCCGCTACAAGCCGGTGATGCGAGAAGGCAATTCTGAAAAACTGCTCTAGGATTTTCTGCGCAGTCCAGCGAGAAAATTCACCATAAACCACCCAGTAATCGGATGGACGTGAAATTGTGGCAGAAGCTTCGGAACTCCTAGATCTAAAATAAATCATAAGGAATTATCGATCCAGTCAATAAACATGGAGATATTGAAGTCGGAGCAGGACTGTAATTTCAGATCAGCAAACATGTTGGATCAGTAGGAGTGGGAAGATCAGCTAGCCATCTTCTCGAGTCTTCGTTTGATTCACGCTTCAAGGGTAACATCTCGTTTTTCCTAATTAATATACATATATTAATTAATTTATATTAATTGAGATTAATGTATGTTAAT